TTTATTACTGGCTATCGAGCCTATAGATTAACAATGTCTACAAACTGCTCCCCTATTAAACACAAAGCTTCTGTTGTTTTTGAATACTCTACGCTTTTAGTATCTCACATTTCACTTCCATTCTCACAGTTTCATTACATTCTCACAGTTTCATTAGATTCTCACAGTTTCATTATATTAAACACAAAGCTTCTGTTGTTTTTGAATACTCTACGCTTTTAGTATCTCACATTTCACTTCCATTCTCACAGTTTCATTACATTCTCACAGTTTCATTACATTCTCACAGTTTCATTAGATTCTCACAGTTTCATTAGATTCTCACAGTTTCATTATTAGATAAAGATGAAGCAAAATTAAAATCTAAAGTCTTACATTCCTTCAATAATAATTTATACAGTTTTAACACTACTCATAACATAATGTGCAAAACAGGATTATCTAAAGTTATTATGGGGAAAATCACAGGAGAAGCAACTGAATGATGAAACTTATCTAGAGCTCTTAAGTTTCCACCTTGTCTATTTTCATACAAGTTCTCATTGTAGGCATCTTCTAGAGATTTTGTTGTTCTTTTTATGTTACAATTAACAGGTGTGTGAAGCATATAGAGTCATGGCTTCTTAGAGAATTCAATTCAACTAGTTCTGTAGAACTAAGAAAGCTAACAGCTGAACCTATGTGTTAGAACATCATTGATGAAATGAAAATCTCGACTTAAGAACAACCTAATTTTTTTGCCTTTTAATGTGAAGTTGGACAACTGAATTCTTTTAATGTCATTGGCATAATGTCCAAGAATTAAAGCAATATTCTCACAACAGTCTGAACCCTGATACATACAAAACAAATGAACATTATACACAGACTCAGATGATTTAGAATTGACAACTTCAAAATGGAATTTCATATATATCCCACCCTTATCACCTGCAAAAAGTAGCCATATCTTATTATCAAAACCGACATTAGTATTAAGGTGGTTGCAAGTTTGAAGATTGTTGTATACCTCTTCAATATAAGTTGTCAAACTCTTAACCATCAATAGAGTTACTAAACAAGGTACTTTATTCCCAGATGGATAAAGCAACATGGACTTTACAGTGATATGTTCTTTATTGACATCCATTGTCCGCATTTTTTGTTCTTGTCTAATCTTGGGCTCAGATGGGAGAATCCTTGCACTAAGATTACACAGAATACACCTAAGCTTACGGAATTCAGTTGTGGGCATCCTTAACTGGCTTTGGAGCTCTACAGCATCAGAAACACTTAACTGTGCAACAAAACTTAACTTATTTCCAACACAATACAATATTGACATTTCACTAGATAGGCCATCAGAAAACAACATACACAAATCAATTTTTAAATCTGAACCAGCTAACAATTGAAGAAGTATAAAGGCAACTCTAGATCGCCTAGCTGCACTACACCTACCTAACTTTATATTGTTTATTACAGCTTAACTTAATGTAAATATATTTTTTATTAACTATTGGGCTATCAACTGAAGCATTCTGCGGTTTAATCCACTTATATCCAGAGAACAATTCAGAAGAACCATTGTTATCATAGTCTAAATATGAATCCACAACAATTAAATCCTTACTGTTATCAGAAAATTTGCAAATTTGATAACTGTTCAGGTTTATATTATTAACTTTCTCTTTCAATTTTAATTTTTTTTAGCAATTTTTAATTACAACTACGAGCAGATGCAAGTTTACGATGTGCTGTTTTTAGTTGCTTTTTAAAAAAAGTTGGAACTGCTTTTTCTCTTTTAACCTAATACTCATCGTCTCTACTTAAGTAGTTAATGAGTTACAATGCGAGTCTTGTTTTTAGAATTCAAATCCGTAATTTCAGTTTCCAACTTTATTACCTGCCTTTTTAACTTATCTATTTGCTATATAAGTTTCTTCTTTAGAAGTTAATAGGTCAACTTGACTACTTAGTTCCTTATTCCTATTTAAAATTGAAAAATAAGCTGCATCTGCTGATTTTCTATTTTTTGTGTGTGGAGCTGGAGACAGTTGCATTTAAAAAAATGCTTTGTTTTTTGAAGCTTCAAAAGATTTTTTAAATCTATTTTTTTCTTTATTAACTTTGTGCACATTTTATTAAACTCATCAATACAAGGCAAATTAAAATCAACTGGCAAAATAAAGCTCATAAAACTAAATAATTCTAGTTTAAAAACTATCATCAAAATCGAAATCACATAGTTAGTGATTTTATCAGTGTCAATTAATCTCTTAACAAAAGGAAAGTTACATTCATTTTCCCAACCATCTTCCCATCCAATGTATAATTTTAAAATTTCTCTTTCAGTAGAATACATATTTATTAAATATAAATTAAAGTTGCAAAAAAAAAAAATAATATAATATAATAAAAAAAACAAATATTTATTGACAAATATATGCACTTGATAAGGGAAGATTAAACAACTTATCTGATGTTAGTTTGATAAGAAACGAGAAAAATTAAACAAAATTTTACAATGTTTGCCGTAAAAAAAAAAGGTCCCCAAATTTTAATTTGGGCGGCGCCTAAATTGGCACCCAAATACGATTGACGCTGTTGAAAACGGTCTAGAATAGCCCCTGACTGGAGATAATTAACGTAACGATTGTTTTGTTAAAAAAAATGTATGAAAATTTTAAAGAAAAGTTTTAAATAGGCTTCTAAACATTTTGTTAAAAAAATTCAGTAAAGTATCAATGCACTAGCCCAAAACCTTTTTAAGCTTTGTCAATAACAATAGTTCATCAGGAAATATACTATTGGGTTTAAATGCCCAATTTAAATAATCCTACAAAAGTGCAGACTATTTCAATGGGGGTATTGAAAACAACCAAATATTTTATATTTAAATACTAGTATTAATGACTTTTTACTTTTTCACATGAAAACTTTGTTAAAATAAAGTTTTTTTTACAAATAAATAGCAATTAGTTTTCTTGCTTTTCTGTGCATCGATAAAAACAGTAAAGTTTCGCAAAAACATTTGAAAAATAAATTTAAATATTGTCCATGTTTCTAGTGCAAATTATTAAGTATTTCCTTAATTTACTGACTGAAAAAAGTCACAAAAAAATTGTACATCAAAAAATATTTTTATTTTCGTTATATTCTATCTACTTTTTTCCTCGATTTGTATCCATTTTGGTAGTGGAAAATAACAAACACCCTTAAAATAAGAAACTAAATATAGTAAAATATTTAGGTATATTATTTTTTTGAAAACATTTTTCTTTTTTTAATATTCCTCTTTTTTAGCTTTTTTTATTTAGATTTTCTATTTTGTATAGTCTTCGGTTCTTTTCTTCGAGTATTACTGTTTTATTCAATTTAGTTTCTTATAGCTTTATTTTGCTGCGAATTCTTAAAATGCTTACTACATAAAAACGTGATCAAGTTGTCTAAAAAAATTGTTCTAGGTGTAGACAAATAAGAGGTACAATCCCACATGCTTTCCGAGAAGGCTCCAATTGTTAACATAGTTGGATCTGCTCTTGCAACGAACCTCCAACCATTATCTCATTGTCGTAATGTTGATTCTCTTTCTCTTTTCTACAAATAATATAATGGGTTCTGCTCTAAAGAGCTAGTGTCTCTTGTGCCATCTGCTAAAATTTATAATCGTGTTAATCATCATTAAATTAAGTCTCATCCTTTTTCTGTGACTGTTCCTAAGTGCTCCAAAAATTCTTATTCGTCTAGTTTTTTTCCTTGAACATTAGTTCTTTTGAATTCGCTTCCTTCATCTTGTCTTCCTGATTCATAAAATTTGCAATCTTTTAAGTTGTCTATGTGTGTATATATATACACACACATCTTCATATATATATATATATATATATATATATATATATATATATATATATATATATATATACACACACAATCTTTTAAGTTGTTTGTGTGTGTATATTTATACACACACACATATATATGCATATATATATGCATATATATACATATATGAATATATATATACTAGCAGTAAGCAACCGTAATACGGGTTGTTAATAAATAAAATTAAATAAAAAAAAACCGTATAGAAAAGCCTAGAAACTACTTTAAAATAAAAAAGTCTAGAAAATGACGTAAGTCGACTATTAACTACTACTATTAAATTAGCGTATTAGTATTATCAGATATGTATATATATATATATATATATATATATATATATATATATATATACCCATATAGTGTAGCTTTAAGAGCATTTTAATGTAGAAAAAGTCTCTTATGACTACAATTTTAATTACCTCGTCTCTTAAGCTGTTTTTGATTGTCATCGAAATGTCAAAGCAATTAATTTATGCGGAAGTACATTAAATTTAATTGTTTTTTAAAAATTTTTTAAAAAACCGCAATTATAACGACTAGAAAGTTTTTTTTAATTAGTGGTGTTTTTGTTATTGATTTAATAAAAAACATTTTTTAAACATGCGTAAATGTTGCTACATCGACTATCTTATAGCCTGACTCGCAACAGAGTGCTGCTACATCGACTGACAAATAGCCTGACTCGCAACGGAGTGCTGCTACATCGACTGACAAATAGCCTGACTCGCAAGGGAATGCTGCTACATCGACTGACAAATAGCCTGACTCGCAAGGGAGTGCTGCTACAACGACTGACAAATAGCCTGACTCGCAAGAGAGTGCTGCTACATCGACTGAGGGTTTGGTTTGGCCAGGCAGTCTATCAATTAAAAAAAAAAAATTATTTTTAAAACTTTTTCTGGTCTGGTTTATTAACGCGCTCTTTAAAACTACAGTTTATGGGAAACATTTTTTGATGCCACGCAAGAGACATGCAAGAGTATATATATATATATATATATATATATATATATATATATATATATTCATATATACATACATTACCCTAACCATTTTTGCAAATGGTTAGGGTAATGGTTGCTTTGATTTTACTTCATGAAAATTCTATTATATCTATATTATTTATTCATTTTTAGAGTCACATGGATCCTTGAATTTTAATGAGGAAAGGTATATCCTCTGTATTTATTTTTAATATGTAAAAATTTGAAATTATAGAAACATATTTATATTAATATTTTAAGTAATGCCCAATAATAATAATTTTTCATAATTCAAATTTTTTGCAAATACTAAAAATTTTATGTTTTAACTAAAGTTTTCTCCTCTCTACTAATACTTTTATAAATAAAATAATTTGTTAAATATATATAATAATTTTATAAGGCAATTAAAAATAGATATTAAACAAGCATATATCTAAAATAGTTAATTTTCTCAAAGTATAATTTGACCTTACATTTGTATAAGTTTACAAAAAAACCTAAAACAACAAACTACCACATTAACATTATGCTAATTTTAAAAACCTTCTCCCTCAAATTCAACAGAAAAAAAAAAAATATTTTGATTAAATAAATTCAATCAACAATAAGTTGAATTAGCAATGTACTAATGATAATATTTTAAAAGAAAGTGGTTTTGAAAACTTTGAACTAATATATGACAGCAAAATAGAAATAGGAACCTAATTTAGTCCAACCCCCATTACCATGAAAATGTTTTAACAAACATAGTAAAAAATCTTCTAAAGTGATTGAACAAAATTCTTCTAACTAATTACACAAATTTTTTTAAAGGAATACTGTTATAATAAGACTTGTATCAAAAAAAATCTGCACGGATATTTTAAAGAATATTAAGTCAATTATTCAATTTTGATATTAAATGTTATATATATTTTGAAAGTACATATAATAAAATTTTAAAATTTCACTTAAGTAAGTTTGTGAAGTTGTGTACGTAAGAACGCACACACTTTGCGCTTTACACTTGACATCAGCTTTTGCAGGATCTTTGGCTGAAGTTTCTTGGAAGCTCTAATCCATTTATTTTTGAAATTCTGGATGTTTTTAACTTTTTTTATATTGAACCTTAATTTTCCTTTTACAATATTCCAATATCTTTTGATAGGACATAATTCTGGACAATTTGGTAGATTGCAGTGTTTTTCAATAAAATCTACTTTTTGTTTTCTAAACCAGTTTAAAGCTGTCCTAGAGTAGTGCTCTTTTAAGTGTTGATACTGAAGCATTTTGTTTTTATTAACTCTAGTTTAAAAATTTTAAATGTTTCTTAATTAATTGGAAAGATTTAAATTTTTAAACTGGTAGGAAATGGTTGACAGAAAACTTAATAAGTTGCAGGTTGTATCAGTCAGGAAAACATGAAGATGTGAGAGAGTTTTGAAGGGTTGGAGTGCGGGGAAACAAACTAAATGCATAAAAGTTTTTAGAAAATGCAGAGACAGATACAATAAAAAAATGAGAATTAGTTTTAGCTGATGGAACTAGAGATAATAGAGAATTAGTTTTAGCTGATGGAACTAGAGATAATTCTTGATGAATGCAAAAATTAACTGATTATATTGGTGCTAAATAATTTCTACATCCCAAATTATTAATAATTTCTAAATATCACCTTTTTAGACAAAAGCTAGGAGAAGCCAACTCCTACTAAAACACCCCCTGCCTTGGTGTTCTTGGTTAAGTAAAGGCTAGAGATTGTGAATGACTGGGGTTATTATTTGACTGGGGTCGGGTTTGATAAAATATAGCTGGGTCCGGGGCTGGGTTTGTGACCAGGGCTGCATAAACATTTATACATCCTAAAGTATTTTTTTTTGATTCAAAATTCATGTTATGTTTTGTATATATATGCATATATAAACATCATTATGATCAACATGATCATCATAATCATGATCATGATCATCATGATTAGGGGTGTCCCGGATATCATTTTTCAGTTATCCGACCGGATATCGAATACTCGGATATTTAAAAATTATCCGGCCGGATACGGATAATGTTATTTAACTTTTAGATAAATACTAAATTTACAAAAGTTACTGTAATAACCTTTCAAAATGGCGAGTTTTGTATGGAAACTTTTTAAAATTAGTGATAGCTGTGATTCCATTGCTATTTGTATTCCATGTGGAAAGCAGATAAGCAGGGGGTGTAGTAAATCTGGTCAGCAGTCATTTTCTACAACTCCGCTGCATAATCATGCAAAAAAATTTAATTGCAAATTGTACGAAGAGGAAAAAAATTATAAAATGGAATGTTCTTCAGCTGCTAAAGGAAGTTCAAAATGTAGTTCATTGATTTCCAAGAAGAAGTGCGAAATGCAAAAACAGATGTCTGTTGAAGATAGTTTTACATCAAAGAAGATATGGGATATTAATGATGAAAAGTCTAAGCAAATTCATAGAAAAATTGCTATTATGATTGCTTTAGATAATTAACCATTTAGTATAACTGAGGATGATGGATTTATTGGTTTAATGGCTTTTTTACAACCAAGATACCTAATCCCAAGTAGGCATTATTTTTTGGAGACAGCAATTCCTCTATTCTATGATCAAATTAAAAAAAAGGTTTTTAATGAAATTGCTAAGTCACAGTACATAAGTTTTACTTCAGATATTTGGACTTGTCCGACATCTCATGAAACATTTATTTTCTTATCAGGATATTGGATTAAAAAAAATTTTGAGCACAAAGATGTTGTACTCTATGCTTCAAATTTTCCAGAAGCTCACACAGGGATAAACAGCTGGAAAATTTATAAATATGTTAGAAAGCTGGGAAATTAATGCACCAAGAAGACATATCTTAGTCAAAGATGGTGCTGCTAATATGTCACTAGGCAGTAAACTTATTCAAATATCATCAGTCCATTGCACAATCTACTTTTTGCAACTCGTGATAAAGGATGCAGTTTTATCCCAAATATTAGTGATAGATTTATTAGCTAAAGCACGTCGAATAGTAGGCCACTTTAATCATTTATCAAAGGCATGTACAGAATTTAAGTTACTGCAACAACAAAATGAAAACACACCTCTACTTTTGGTTCAAGATGTGCCTACTCGCTGGAATGGAAATTTAGGTAAGAAGATCTCTTTCTGTTTATTAAAAAAGTTTTTTAATAATTTTAAAAACTTTTTTGATAAACAGAAAAACTTTTAATTAAGTTTTTATTTTTAATATTAGCTATATTCTGCATGTTGTTGGTTTGCTGATTTAAGTACTATATACATTTTATTGAATAAAAATGTATAAATAAATAATCTTTACTATTTAAATTATTTTATATTACAGAATAAAATAGTGAAACAAATCCTGATCAAGTCTCGCTTGTAAAAGCTGCTCAAGAAGTTGATTTTTTCTTTAATCACTCGATTATAGAAAAAAAAAAAAGACGTTTTTAATTACTGGAAACATGAAGAGAAGTTTCCACTTCTAAAAAAATTAGCTCTTAAATTATTAGCACCTCCAGCATCCTCTGTATTTTCGGAGCGATTGTTTTCTGAATATGGAAATATTTTTGAGAAAAAGCGATCGAGGCTGTTACCTCAACGTGGAGAAGTATTACTATTTATTCATCAATGGAAATAAATTTATAAATGAGTGACAAACTGATGTGTTTGTTGCGTTTAAGTTTAATAGTATTTGAATAATAAATCATTATTAATAATAATAACAATTTTGAATAGAAACCATTAACATTAGAATATTTAAAATATAACATTTCTTGGTTTATTAAATCTTTAAATTTCAACTTAAAATATCCGGTTTATCGAAAACCGGATAATGTTATTATCCAGCCAGATAATGGATATCGAATAATATTGATATTTGGCCCGGATATCCGGCCGGATAGCTTATCCGGGACACCTCTAATCATGATCATGATCATCATCATAATCATCATCATCATCATCATCATCATCATCATCATCATCATCATCATCATCATCATCATCATTATCATTATCATCATCATCATCATTATCATCGTTATCATCTTCATCATCATCATCATCATCATCATCATCATCATCATCATCATCATCATCATCATCAGTATATGGTTCTCTGTTCGTTATTGCAACAAGGTCATCGGCTCACAGGATTTTAGATTATTGCCGTGCCGCTCAGTATTTTTAAAATTTTTTTTCAGTATTACCAATAAGAAAGATCTAAACTTTTTAGATATGTTATTTTTGAAAAAAAATTTTGAGCAAAAACTTTAAATATAAGAGCCGTTCTAAAAAATGCGTTGCATTACCGAATGCATCGAAAAAGAGGGTTTATGCATGGGGATCATAAAAATGACATTCGGGTATGTTTTTTTTATTCATTTTCTTCAAATCAAGCTATAAACTAAAGAAATCCACATTTCTAAATTTTGACATTTTTCATATCATCGTGGCGTTTTTATGTTTCTGAGTTCAAGTAAACTTTATATAATATATTAGTTAACAAATCTCGTACTTGGGTTTTCAAAAAAAAAAACGTTTAACAAAATTTTTTTTATATACATTTTTAAGAAAACTTTTTCTGCTGGATATAATATTTACTAAATCGAATGTCTAAAAAGTATAAACTTTGGTTTTAAAACGAAAAAGATTTTTTCGAAATTTGGTTTTAACTGTGAGGTGTTGCATTACCGAAACTACTCAGGTTGCATTACCGAACTTTCTGGTTTTCGCTTATAAATGAATTTAAGAGGTCTATTTTGCAATCATTTTTAAGTTACCATTTTAAGATAAAACTTATTTACTCTTTTTTTATCCAAAAAATAAAATCGATGCAAATAATAATTGTAAAATCGAACGGAAATTATTCAAAGTCTCAGAGGCATGTTATAGGACTTTCAGGGGAATAAAACGGACAATCAATCAAAACAGGGGAAATTTCTTATTACAGAATATAAAACTATATATTGAACGTTTATGTAAATAAATGTTAAATAAATAAATAAAGCTTTTAATACAACGTAGTTATAGTTAACAAATGCGCTCATTTTGAATACACAAATAACACTATTTTTGATTATTTTAAAATAAAAACTTTGCAACAATCTTCTGACATCTTTCTTTAAATCAAAGTAATAAATTTTTCAAGTATTTTTAAACTAATTTTGACTTTATGAAAAAAATACACTCAGCAAATTGTTGTTTTAAACAATCTTCCCAGCAAAAATTTTACAGCGGAATTTTAGTAGACTTTTATAGGCATTTTAAGAGTTTCCCGCTTTTTTTCCACTGTGAAAAGGCTCATTGGTTACATAGTGGACTACAATTGGCAGTCGCCATATTGGCTAGCCAACAACTAGCTTTTATATTACACGTTGAAGAGTTATTGGCTAGCCACTTTTAGCGAATCCCTTAAGAAACCTATGAGCAAAACTCTAATTAACTGCTCAAAATGCTTATTTAGGTCCATTGCAAATCCACATTAAAATAATTGCTGGGTTAATAAAAATATAATTGGTTATCATTTTCACAGATTTTTATAAAAACACAGTTATTCATAGTTTGTTCATATATAAAAGTTCAAAACTGTTTCATTAATTAAGTTCATAGCCTTAACCAGAGAGACTGATACTATCCTATTTAGTAAAATAGTGGGTTTTGATCACTGTTTTATTAATTTTTATAAAAAAATTGTATATACCAATTGAAAAAAAAATCATGATTTTTATCATTAAGCACATATCTTATTTAACTTAATTGATCATAAGTTTGAGAATCATAGTTTTTTGCATAGATGCTTTAAATGTAAAGGAAAATTACCATTTTAATGTGGTCTTGTCGACGACACCCTCTAACACAATTTTTTGAAAACTTTACTTTGCAGCAATTTTATTGATTATAACTAAATTTTTAAAAATCCTGATAACATTTTTTTTTATTGCAAAGTTTATATAAATTTAACAGAAGAGAATGGACACTAGATTTCGTACAAACTTATAAAGGAATAAACACACCATTACATCAAAAAAAAAAGTTAACTTAATCTTTGATCAATTCGATGCAGAACTTCTTAGTCTAGCAAAAAGAAACAATCTTAACAATTTGTATGCTATAAAAAAAGTTGTTTAGGCGGTTTAGTTTCGTTGTACAGATTTTGACAACAAGGAATGTCAACACCGTATTTTCCCAAGAGAAACTGAGAACTAGTGCAAATATCATTTAGAGAAAGTTCATGGTGAAAATACTTTTGTAAAGCAAGTAAATATTTTTGCTCCACACGCTTCAGTCTTCAACATTTTGGAACCAACTTTTACTGATTTATCTTCAGATGATTTACTAAAACACAAACGAGACACTGAACCAGATTATTTGGAGACGCTGCCTAAAACGTATTTTTGTGAGTAGAGGGGTCATTGAGTCTGCAGTTAATTCGTCTGAGATTGAATTTTATGAAGGTCTTAATGGAATCTTATTTGTACTTAATAAACTTTACTTAACAGGATATGAAACGTCTTTGAAACTTAATGATAAAAATAAAGAAGCTATCAAACGGTCTTTTCAATAGTCCACTGAACGTGTTAAAAAGAGAGAAAAATAGCTAAAAACAATTAAAAAGGCTTAGTTAGATAAAGATGATAAAGAAAGACTTAGTTAGACAAAGGTAATAAAGAAATTGATAAAGAAAAAACTCAAAATATATTCCTGGAGGGTTTTAATATGTTTATATGAACTTTTTATTATGGTTTTATTCTTTTGTTTTATATATTTGTCGTTTCCTCAAAACTAAGTTTTGCCTCGAATACAAATCTTTAAAATATGATTAACTTTAAACTCGTTTAAGCTTTGATCTAACTTTTTTTGGGGATTTTTTACATAATTAAAAAGGATGCGGTTGATTGAAGGATATTTAAAACAAAATAAGGGAAGTACTTTTTTATGAGAAAAAATGCTGGACGAATGTTTAGCAATTTTTCTGTTTGTTTCAAATGTTGTAACCTTTTATATATTATAAATAATAAAAAATGCTTCACTTATCTGGATTAATATACCTCATTAGTATATAAACAAATTTTCAGCTTGATATGATAAATATTTTGATCACAAAAAATGCTAGTTTTTTCACTCTTATTTTAAATAACTGGGTAATCGAGTCATTATTTTTAAGTTGATTCTTTAAAATAGTTTAAAGAACAAGATTTTTCATGAAAAATATAAATTAAAAAACTTTTTCTATCAAAAGTTTGCCTTTTCTGTGGAGGACCCACCTTAAGCTTAAGAAAAAATTTAAAATTTATTTAAAATCCATACTTCAAAACAACAATTTTTACCATGTAAAATAAAAGCTGTTTATTTACAGTTTTAACAATTGAATAATGTTATTTAGAATTGAGTAGTATTATTTGGAAAAAGTGCCTTAAAAGTGTAATTGTGTCAAAGAAGGTATTAGAACTAAGTGCATTTTTATCCAAAAATAAATTTAATAATGGATTTATTAAAATGGAATCTTTTTTTGGGCACGCCATATAATTTTGACCTACAAGACCCAGTTTAAACAGGGTTAAGTTGTACTAGAAATAAGATTATTTATTTAATGATCTTATCATCTTGAGACGAACGTTTTTTGCTTTTATAAAAGTTGATGCGCTTTTTTTTATACATTAAACATTAAAACGGCGCTATCTGGAAATTTGAATAGATTACAAAATATTTATGCACTTTCAACGGCCATCTCACTGAGTCTAAAAAATTAAAAGAATATCCATAGTTTTTATAGATAGGGAAAGACAAAGCAAGATATCAAACGTTTTAAAAATCTTGGGTTATTGCAAATCTTAGACCAATGAAGCAGTAATATTTTGTCAGTATGCTTGTTTTATCATAATGATTCATTGCTTCCATAAGTTTTGAGTTTGCAATTAAAAAAATTGGCCATTAGTCATCGGAGCACGATAATAGAGCAAAATAAATTTGCGTAAAAAAAAAAACTACAAAATTACACCCATAAAATACCACACATTGGCATTTACCCTAAAACAATTTTATCTTTTAAGCGTGAAAAATAAAAACTTACGAGTGTATAAATACTTAAATACAATATTTTAAAAAAACAAAAACTTGGATTTTAAAACACAAGCTATATATACAGATTTGTTTCCACTCAATTTTAAATTTTAGACCCATTTCGTCATACTCTTGCTTTTTTTCAAAACTATTTGTTGTTTAACTGACAGATTTTTAACGGTACCATACCTAATGATACGAAGCATATTACGAGAATCTTTTGTATGCTTTGTATATATATATCCTTTAAAAAAACATAATTTTAAATGCAAATAACATTCAACTTAAAGCTGACAATCCTTCAATTGTAGATTGCATGAGAAATTTCAATTTAATATTTTGATAAGTTTTAATAGTTCGTTACACTTAATTGAATTTTTTATAATGTAAAAAAAATTCAATAAAAAAAATCAACCAACTTTGTTTTAAATCAGTAATCTAACTAATATATAATAAACTTTTTTAAACTAGAATATACAAGTAAATGCATGCAAATGCAATTTAATAAACTTTTTCAATAGTAACATATTTACATTATTTATAAACTCAAAACACATTTTCTTTTTGATTAAATTTTCAGGGTTTTGTCACAACCTTTTAGGTCTAAATTTAGTCTAATATTGGAATCTAGAGTCTGTTGTTGTAAGTTGATGAAGCTTTTTAAATCTTTCATATATCACTTTAATGCTGGAACAAACACTAAATGTGAAGATATATTTAATACAATACATATATAAGTTTAGTAAAATGCATAAACTTGTATAAATATATACAAGTTTATGCATTTTATATATATATATATATATATATATATATATATATATATATATATATATATATATATATATATATATATATATATATATATATATATATATATATATATATATATATATGTATATATATATATATATATACACATATACACACACCAGGGATGCAGAGTCCTAAAAGGGCTCCTATGAAACAAAAAGTCCTTCAAAAGGACTCTTGCTTTTAAGCGTGAAGTCCTGGTCTATGCCACCTTTATACCTTGGACTTTGGGTTCAAAAATTATTGTTTTACTGATGTATAAGTCTTGATTTTTTTCCCCATTAGTAGCCCTTAGGCCTTTTTATATCTTTAAAGCTACTGGATATCAAAAACTAGAAAGAAGTAATCTTTTTGTGACCTTTAACTCCGCAGTCCTTTTTAGGGATTCTGCATCCATGATATCTAGATATAAAATATGAAAAATTTATATAATAAATTATGAATTTATACGTAAAAATTATGAATATTAATTAAATACAAATTATGAATATTATATACATAAAAATATATATGCAATAAGAGCAAAATTAACTATAAAACCTCATGAAATCTTTGTAAAAATATATACAGGATCAAATTGATATAGTTTTTAAAACCACGAAAATTAGTTTGTGTTGTAATTGTTGAAGATGATTGATTTTTAAACTTAAAATGTTGTTTTGATAACAAATCTTCAATGTCTGAATCAAAGCATTAATAAATTACATGCCATTCTCAGAAAAATTTAAATAAGCACTTTTAAATTTTTCTGAGAAATGACACATTTTAATTGTATTCAAATGCACATTTTTACACATGATGTAATATTGAGTTAGATATTATTGAAAGGTATGCTGTTGTAAGGCTTCAGATGTTGACATCAATAGAGTGAGGTATTTTAAAAGTATGATCCAGAAGCTTAAAAACATCTATCTTTTTCCCCTAAAATAAATAAATTTATAAGTAACTTTAAAAATTTGAACTCTATAACAATAACAGAACATTTGAAAGTACTTTAAAGAGCACAATTTAGTTTTTTATTTTCCCCAGGATAAAAAACTCAATTATCTCTTTATTTCAAGTCTTTTTTTTAAATTTTGCATAGTACATTTTGTTTGATTGCAAAACTACAATAAAATTATAGTTGCTGTATCATAATTTTAACTAACTTTTAGACAAGTCTAAAAACTAATTAATTATTTAAAAGCTAGGTAAAATAATCAGGTTTTCCATGAATTTCTAAAATTAAAGAATAGAAAAAGCAAAAATTAAAGTATAGTGAATATTATAATATATAAGCAAAAATTAAAGTATAGTGAATATAAAAAATTAGTGAATTTCTTTGGTTTTAAAGTGGAATTGAATAGGGATTGTCCATAAATTATGCAACGCTAAATTTCATTAATAAACAAAACATAAGAGATCAAAAGTTTTTTCTAAAAGTTTTGTCATGTAAAAGAATTAAATATTATCTACTTCTTTTTTTAAAATAAACTTTGCATTGCAAAATATATAGACGATCCCTAATTGAATGTTTAAACACTTGTGAAAACAACTTTGAAAAAGAAATGAAATATGTTACAAGAATAACGACATTTATCTTCTTCATCAGGTTTTAAAAGTTACTCTTGAAATTATATTATAAAGAAAAAAATAAAGTTGCTTTAACATTCGAAACTTAACTGAACTGCACATTTGTTTGAAATTAATTCAGCGGTCAGGAAGATATTTGAGAAACTTTAATAATTTTTAAACTAACTTTAATAGATAGTTTTGATTAAACTTGCCAAATAAAATAGTAACATTTAAACTAAACTATTGTAAATATGGTAAAACTATTTAATGTCTTTTAATTGTAAAATAAGCATCATTACCTTTTAAAGAAACAAAAGATAATAATGTTGGAGTATGATTAAAAGTTTTCGCCAGATATATTACTTAAATACACATAATAATGCAAGAGAATACACATAATAATACAAGAGAAAAATTCAATTTTTTTATACAAAATCTTTATATTAAAGAAGAAGACAACATAGCTGTTGTAAATATAAATTAAAATCTTTGAAATTATATTATTACTGTTTAAAAATATACCATCTATAGTTTTAACACTATATTCGTAAATAAAAAAAAGAAAATAACTAAATTCTTATTTAAAAATTACTTGCAAATAACAAGTTCCGCATCTAAACTTTGTCAATAGAGTTCTTTAAAATAGCCATCTCTAGATTAAATTTTGTCTTGAGTAAAAAGAACAAAATCTAATCTAAAAATAATCTTTATGAATAAAATCTTTTAATATTGTAAACAAATACTAAACAATTATATACTTAAGAAATAAAAATTATAACTTTTATGCCAACTTAAAAGTGACTTAAACTACTCTATTATTTACAATATTATTATAAGCACATTGTATATTATTAGTAACATTATTATAAGCATATAAAATATTATTTAGAATATTATCATAACCATATAGTATATAATTAATAACATTATTATAAGCTGGTTAAATTTGTAATGTTTAAGGTGAAATTTTAAGTAGAAGTTTACTTCCATAACTTAGATTCTAGCTATCTAGTATCAGAGTGGTTTAAATAAACTTTTACTCAATTGTTGAGTAGAAATCAATATAAATTACTTTGATTCAAGCCAGCTTATACCTTTTAGGTATATCACAAATTGATTTGTAAAGTTGGATAAACTTCAAAATTGATTGTACTCAAAAATATCTGTACACTTTTTAGTTAATTGCTTTTTTCGTGTAAAATTTGTAAATAAAAATTAAATAAAAAATTTTTAAAACTTTAAACACATGTATAATTATATAGGCTACTGATATATATTAGATTTCCATAAATTTACTTCTCAAAAATACAATTTTGTTTTAATATCAATTTTTTACTTCACTCACCAAACAAATTTTTGTCTGCCCAATTAACTTTGAACGAAAATTATTTTGAGCCGGCTTACGACGTAACAACTTAATAAAAAAAACAAAATTATTCAAGTTACAAAACCGAACACGGAGTTGCAATAGCGAACAAAAAAGTTGCAATAATGAACAAGAGATGCTTTACCGAACAAGCGCGTTGCAATACAGAACATTTTAGTTGCATTACCGCACATCCATATGATCATCATCATCATTATCATCATCATCATCATTATCATCGTTATCATCTTCATCATCATCATCATCATCATCATCATCATCATCATCATCATCATCATCATCATCATCATCATCATCATATATCATCATATGGTCTTGATATGAGTTAGAGGGGCGGCTAAGTCCGGCACCCTATTTGACCCCTGTATAAACCCAAATATTTTTTAAAGATTAGTTTTATGATTTTTTTCACTAACTTTCCCTGAATGGAATGATTCTAACAATTTCAAAAAGGTATGACACAACCCTATGTCATTTCATCAAACTAAAATCTGGTTCAGCGTGGGTGTGAAAGCAGATGGGACACTACTAGTTTTACATTATAAAAACATTAGTAAAAGTTCAAAGTTATTTATTTCAAACGTAATTATATTATTGTTTATTATTTATTTTAATTAATTTTTTGTTTTTATTTTTTTTATTTTTGTTTTAGTTATTTATTACTAAGCTATTTTTATTTTATTTTTTATTATTTTTTTAAGAAGATTTTTTTTTTTAAATAAGTTTGTTTTTGTAGTTTCTTTATAACTAAGTTAAGTTTTCAGCGCTTTATTAAAATGTTATACTGTGGTCAAATTGTCAAAACAAAATTTTTTTTGCGTGGTCATATAAAGCTGTGAAATCACACGCCTTCCTGACCAAGCCTGACTTCACTCTATCGCCTTTCTCTTTTTTTTCTATTGCTCTCCATTGCTCTGTACTCTTTTTGATTTTATTTCTGATCATATTGATCATATTTAATGATCATCAAACTGAATTGCTTGGCTCTAGTGTCAGCAAAGCCTGCCATTGCACTGTGGTCCAAAATGCTAAAAAATCTGGTCAAAATCATTATTTTAAAAAGAAAGAAAATAGGATTAACTAGTGAAATAAAATGTATTAAAGATTTCTTCTAACCACTACTATATTTACTTTTTTAAGTAAACAATATTTGCCTGTAAAGTGGTTTCTATAGAAATAATTTTGCCCCCAAAACAGTGTTATATATGTGAGTATTCGGGGGTGGATTCCCCCGAATCTTCAAGGTTCTGAAATCTTATTGAAATATAGTGTTCTGTTTAAAAATTATACCTAATTTAAATTTACTTTTGAATGTCAGATGATTTTTTGATGAAGTTTCAAATATATGTATATATATATATATATATATATATATATATATATATATATATATATATATATATATATATATATATATATATATATATATATATATATATATATATATATATATATATATATATATATATATATATATATATATATATATATATATATATATATATATATATACTAGGTTGGTTGAAAAGTTCGCGGAGCGGAAATGAAAAAACAATTTTATGATTCAAAAAATGACTTTATTCTTCAGTATATTCTCCCTTAAGAGCAATACACTTTTTCCAACGATTCTCCAATTCATGTATCCCATCTCTGAAGTGCGATTCCGGAAGGCCTTCAAAATACCCATTTACGGCTGCAATGACTTCTTCATGTGATGAGAAACGCTTTCCACGTAGAAATTTTTTGAGATGTGGAAAGAGGTGGAAGTCGGACGGAGCCAGATCTGGTGAATAGGGTGGATGTTCCAAGCGTTCGTACTTTAATTTGACCAATTTCGCCTTTGCAACATCGCTGATATGAGCAGGTGCGTTGTCCTGGTGATAAATGATTTTTTTATGCAGCAAACCAGGTCTTTTCTCACGAATTTTTTTATCCAACTGGTCCAAAAGATTTTTATAATATTCACCTGTTATCGTTTTACTGGTTTGAAGGTAATCTATTAATAAAATTCCTTTCGCATCCCAAAAAACTGATGCCATAACCTTCTTTGACGATTTTGACGCCTTCACTTGCTTCGGAGCTGAACAACCGGGTTCTGTCCACTCTGCAGTTTGTTGTCGCAGCTTCGGATCATAGTGGTAAACCCAAGTCTCATCCATGGTTACGAATCGACGCACAAAATCTGTTTTATTCTTTTGAAAACGGGCCAAATGTTCTTGAGAAAGTTTTACTCGAGTGCGTTTCTGATCCAGAGTTAGCGAATGCGGCACCCATCTTGCCAACAGCTTTCTCAGACGTAATTCATCGTGCAAGATGTGTAATACCCGTTCATCTGAGATGCCCACAGCCTCAGCAATTTCACGTTTGGTCAATCGTCTATCATCCATAACCATGTCATGCACAGCATTAATCGTTTCTTCAGTAGTAGCACTTTTTGGACGTCCAGAGCGAGGGTCATCTTCAAGGCTTGAACGCCCACGTTGAAACTCCGCAGCCCATTTGCATACTGTTGTTTTTGAAGGAGCATCATCACCCAACACATTTACCATTTCATTATGAATTTCCATGGGCTTTAAACCTTTTTTCACAAAGAATTTTATTACAGCACGATGTTCAATATTTTCCATTTTAAAAAATACTATGACACGTCTAATTTCAATAGCTTGTAAACAAAGACTGAAATGACATATCGACTTGAAATTTTTTATGCGTTCATACGAAGAATGAATACGTTTAATACAGTTATAAATTTGTTTCTACTACTGCAACATAGGTGCCGCTCCACGAACTTTTCAACCAACCTAGTATATATATATATATATATATATATATATATATATATATATATATATATATATATATATCCTTATAGTGTAGTCGAAAGAGACTTTTATGGTAAAAAAAGTCTCTTTTGACTACAATTTTTTTACCTTGTCTCTTAAGCTGCATTTTATTGTTGTTGAAATGTCAAAGCAATTAAATTAATACGGAAGTACATTAAATTTTATTGTTTTTTAAAAAAACCGCAATAATAATGACTAGAAAGTTTTTTTTAATTAGTGGTGTTTTTGTTTTTGTTTTATTAAAAAACATTTTTAAAACATGCGTAAGTGTTGCTACATCAACTATCTTATAGCCTGCTGCTACAAGGGAGTGGTGCTACATCGACTGACAAATAGCATGACTCAGAAGGGAGTGCTGCTATATCGACTGACAAATAGCCTGACTCGCAAGGGAGTGCTGCTACATCGACTGACAAATAGCCTGACTCGAAAGGGAGTGCTGCTACATCGACTGAGGGTTTGGTTTGGGCAGGCAGTCTATCATTTAAAAAAAAAATAATTTTTTTTTGAAGTTTTCAAACATTTTCTGGTCAGGTTTATTAACGCGCTCTTTAAAACAACAGTTTATGGGAAAAACTTTGTGACTACCATGCAAGACTATATATATATATACAGGCCTTGTTTTAAATAAAAAAGTGCTCAATGCATTAGCTTAACGCGATTTTGACGTCATAAAATTATCTTTATTTTTTTTTATAGGCGTTAAGTGTTTTAACTACCGCAATAAATAAATAACCGCAAACTAATTCAATTTAACAATTAACTCAAATATAAACTATAAACGTTTTAAATATAAATTTATTATGAAAATTTTGTAATGTTTTCAATTGTTATTTTATTATTAATTTTAGTTCAATATTATTTAGTAAAAAAAAAATATATATATATATATATTAATTATTTCTGAAATTTGTTTTTGAATAATTGTTTTTAATCGTTATTGAATAAAAAATAATAATGATTTTTTTTATATTTAAAAAATTTCTAGAGTAAACAAAAAATATTAACATTGATAAACACAAACCCATGTTAATTATTTAAACAACGATTTTGTTTTGACTAGCAAAGAAAAATTTAAGTTTTTAAATATTTTTAAAATTTTTAAAAGCGTTTCAACTTGCGTTTTATAAAAATATAAAAAAGTTTTGTCTGCTTTGAAGCGTATTTTTGATACGTAGTTTAGAACGCGTTCGCTAGAAATTTAATTCATAAACTTTTTATGTTATTGTAAAAATATTTAACTTTTTAAACAAATCACAAAGAAACAGAGCTATAGAGAAAAATCGTTTTCAACGATTAAATCTTTTTTTTTTTTTAATTTTAGGAAATTAAAAAAAAAATTAAATTAAATATAAAAGTCTTAATTATGCAAACTCTTTTATTAATTATTCTTAAAACAAAAAAACAAATACTTGTACGCCAAACTTTAATCGTGCAAACTTATAAAAATACTCAACTGAAATAATTTAAGTATATTTAATAATTTGAATTGTATCTGTTTATAATAAACGTTCGTAAAAATTTTTTTATTAAAAATTAAGTTCCTTAACTTATAAACAAACTCAAAAGTATTTTCATTCTACGTATAATTACAAAACTCTTTTTTTTTTCGTTTGTAAGCAATTTAACTTAATAAAATAAAAAAAAGAATAAATATGAGGTAATCTTTGTTAAGAATAAATTTAATTTATTTATTGAACTATATTTTAATTTTTAATTATATATCAACTTAATTAAAATATAGTAACATGTTAAAATATTTTAACATGACTTGTATTATTTATAAACTGTTGGGCAGTTGCCCTTACGGCACTATTGTTTTTGGATAATATTTTATTTTGATGAAGATCACATAACTTACATTTGATTTTAATAACGTAAGTCTTCTCTTTTTCTGTGATCATCGCATCGGCAAAGTCCCAAGATTTAAAAGTTTTTAAAGTAAATCTTTTGTCCTTCAAAATACAATCCATATTCGAACTTTAAATAATTTAGAGATAATAGAAATATACAAGGTTTTTATATACTAGTTTGTTTTGTTTTATAAAGAAAAATACATATTCATTAGTAAAAAATGGAGACTGTCATTAAACTAAAACGTGCCTTAGTATTTATTTAACGGAACCTGTAATGTGCGCGTGTATAATAAAACCTCCGTTATATAAATATATTCAACGTAATATTAGTGTCATCAGCGGATGTTGTAGTCTACTCATGATTTCTTTTCCTTATATTATAACTTGATTTATGACAAAAAAAACTTATTGAATCGCACGCAGAAGAATTTTAACAAATTGTCTTCATTCAAATATTGTGAGTAACAGGTAATTTTTTTTTCTGTGCCGACCCCCTCCCCCCGCATA